CTCTGTGTGTGTGTTTGTGTGTGTGTCCATGCGAGCCTGTGTGTGTGCGTGCCTGTGTGTGTGGTGTGTGTGTGTGTATGCAGTTGTGTGTGTGTCCATGCGAGCCTCTGTGTGTGTGTGTGTGTGTGTGTGTGTGTGTGTGTGTGTGTGTGTGTACACGAGATTTGTTAGAATGGTTTATAGGCTGTGGTTTAGCATTGTTGTCCATAGTCTAGCAGTGGCTGTTTTCCAATGGAAAGTCCAAGAATCTAATACTGTTCAGTCTATGGGGATGAATGTCTCAGCTGGTCTTCAGCTTACATCAGAATCCTAAAGAAGTAGACTCTAATACCAGTGAAGAAATGCTTCAGCAACAGGATAAATGAACTTTTCAGCAAGAGTGAGGACAAATACGTAAAAGCTTTCCTTTTCCATGTCCTTTATATAAGCTACCACCATAAAGTGTGGCACACACACCCCCAAAAAAATGATCCAATCAAGAGAAACCCCTCACAGGTATGCCCAGCCACTTGATTTGAGTTAACCCTGTTTAAGTATTCCTAAAATTTTCTGAGGACTTATGGATTATTTATTTATGGATAATGATCAGTGTATTACATGTTAACATTAGAGCAGTGATGTCACATGTATCATCTATAGGAAATTTCACCTCACAGATATGACAAAATGAGTATGGAGATTGCAGGTAACACCTTAGTGTTTATGATTCCTATAAAAAGAAATTAAGAGAGACCTTCCAGAGTTCCTCCCTCAAAAATCAGGGGGGTGAGGAGAACAGGAGAAGGAGTGAAGGAAGAGAAAACAAATAGCTTGAAAATCCTTTTTCTAGATATCAAAATATCTACTGGTCTCCCTCAAGAAAGATTCTTGTAAATAAATATTAGGGATATGGTTTGGCATAGCTTCATGTGAACCACATGTACTAGGGCAAAGAAACTGGGGGAAAAGGCAGTTTTTATTCCAGAGACTGACTACAAAAGCTGTTGATGGGAAGGAGAAGGGTTAGACCGGTTACCTGGGTTACAGAGTGGGATGGCTCCGTTGGTGGAAATGCTTGCTTTTGCTTGGTCTCCAGCACTGCGTCTCCCAAGCATGGTCCTGCACTCTTGTGACTCTGTGGAGGCTGGCTGGCTTCCTCACCTCCAGTGCTAGTTCTATGGCAGCCTGGGCAAACAGAGTGTCACTGTACTGAGGGGAGCAGGGATGGGAAATGAATGATTCCAAACAGAACAACAGGCTCATGTAATTCTGATAGTGATGTGAAATGTTCTTGGGCTGTGCCTATGCTGCTTTGGAGGGCAGGGTCAGGGGTCAGGTTGGCTATTGAAATCTCATTCAGAAATGAGGTGCAAGCTGCAAATGGCCAAATTAATGATACTGTTGAGGATGGGCCAGTCAAAGTGGGTAAGGTACGGCGAGTTCGTTGTAGCACTAGCTTTGAAGTGATTTGTGCTAGGAAGATCTTCCCTCCCACCCTTTTTCTTCTACCCTCAAGTAGTTCAGAAAGAGTTTATCCTTCTCCAGGCTATAGGATGTACCTCAATGTATGCAAAATTAATGTTAAAATGTTAACTCCAGTTTCCAGAAATCCAGCAAGCTGAGTGTCTTAGTGTGGGTCTTACTACATCATTTAAGCCAATCAGTATTTCCCCTCCCAAGCGTACCTGGAGGCAAGGTAATTCCAGAGCCTGTCAGCCTGACAGTGAAGACTAACCATCACATGAGCATGTAGGGGGCATTTTCTGAAGTGCTGGGTTGTGATACCTAATGTTTAGTTTCCTTTTTTTTATTATGTGTGCGTGGACATACATGTGCATCCAGGTGCTCCCAGAGGCCAGAGCCAGCGGAGCTCCCAGAGTGGAAGTTAACAGTAGCTGTTAGCTGCCAGGCACAGGCATGTGCTGGAACCTGAACTCTGCTCTTCTATGGAAGCAGGGTATATGTCCCTGACACCCGCTTCCTTTAAAGACACAAAAGTTACATGTATCTATCTGTGGGACTAGCAGAGGTGGGGAACATGAATGTGAGTCAGAGGACAGCTTTTGGAAATAAGTTCTCTTCCTCCACTGTGATGGGCCTGGGGGTTGGCAAGTACCTGTTCCATGGATCCATCCCTCTTGAGCCCTTGCCTCCATCTTTGCATCATTCCTTAGTTATAGTCAGTACCTGTTACAAAATGTCAGTCATTTCACCCCGTGACACCACCCGGAATCTCTCCTTTCCTTCCCCAGTTCTTACAGTCTGTGTCTGCCTTCTTGTCCCCTCCTCACGTGTCCAGTTGTAGAAGTTTACTACCTGCCTTCTCTGGGCAACTTTCCCCTTTTTGGATGAAGTAGGAGATAGTTGAGAGAGAGTGGCTGGGGAGGGAGGAGGGGGATGAGTGGGCGGACTTTCTGCTTATCATATATACATGCTCGGAAAGGACTAGACTTTGCAACTATATGTTTATAAAACTTTGAAAGTGAATCAGTTTATAGTTTATTTCATTTTTATTACATTTATTTACATGTGTGTGTGTGTGTGTGTATGTGTGTGTGTGCCTCTGTGTGTGCGTGTCTGTGTTTGCACGTGCACCACTGCATACACGTGGAGATCAGAGGACAGCTTGTACCTATAGGAGTCTCCTTCTGCCAAAGTTTTGGGGGATCACTAGGTGTGGTTGCAAGTGCTTTTACCCACTTAGCCGTCTCCCGACGTTCTTATGAAGAAACTGCTAAGACTCCTGAGTCCCCTACTCAAGACCCTCTGTTCCTGGGTGATTGATTCATCATGACCTCTGGGTAGCCTGTACTTGTGCTCTTCCCTGCTCCAAAGCAGTCTGCCTCCGTTGTTGTCAAAGTTTTCCTGTCTAGATTTTGGTTCTGAGCAGGACATTGTAGATGCCCTGGCTGCCTGTGACTGGCTACCCAGAACCACCTTGCTTACACTGAGTAGGGACAGACAAAGGAGATGATTTCATTTTCTGCTTTGGATTTTCCCACAGCAGTCTGAGCTGTCCGCTGAAGAAAGTCCAGAGAAATTAGGAACCTCCCAACTGCATCAGCGGAAAGTCATTTCCTTGAATAAGCAGATTCTGCAGAAGACCAAACATCTAGAAGAGGTGAGTGTCTTTCTAATTCCACTTGAGGTAATGACTATTCTTCCAAGAGGGGAGAAGTCGAGAGATAATGAGAGCCTTGTGGTAAACTGGTTAAAGGAGGCTCTGGCACAGGCATACTACAGTTGTCAGTCCAGTCTAGCTGCGTTTGTTTTTGTAAATAAAGTGTGTTTGTGTGTGTGTCTATGTGTGTGTGTGTGTGTGTGTGTGATGTGTTTGTGTATGGGTGTTGCAGGTATGTGAGGGTAATTGTATATAGGTGTGCTTACCTTATGGCATGTAGATGCCAGGCTGGTATTGGGTGCCGTCTTTGATCACTCTCCATTTTATTTCCTGAGGCAAGGCCTCTCTGAACCATTTTGACTAGTCTAGCAAACTGTTGCCAGGGATATCCCTTGTCTCTGCTTCCTCTAAGCACTGGAATTAAAGGTAAGCTGCCACACTGATATCTAGCTTTTCACATGGGTTCTAGGGATCCAGTTTTCAGTCTTCAGGCTTGCATAGTAGGTGCTTTTCCCCTAAGCTCTCCCCATCCCCATAAGTAAAGTTTTATTGGAACAACTAAGCACTCATGCACTTGCCTGTTTGTCTGTGATTGCTTTCAAGCTACTGTAGCAGAGTTGAACAGCTGTAACAGAGACCAAATGGCCCACAAACCTAAACTAGGTACTGCTGGCCCTTTATAGGAAAGGTTTATTAAGCCCTGTCACAGAAGATAAAGAGCAAGGCAGGAAAGATGGATTAGCCTCTGGGAGTTCTTTTTGCACTTGCAGAGGACATGCATTCTAACTCCCAGCACTCTTTTGCTGCTCACAACTTCAAGGCTAAAACTTCAAGGGCCTGACCCCCTTTTATTGCCTCTGCAGGAACCTGCATGTGCACAGGCATGCTAGTGTGCATGTGAATACACACATACACAGATGTGAAAATACATAGGGCCAGAATGGTATTCTTTCACTCGTATGTAGTGTTGTGTTAAGTGCTGAGCTAAACTACAGGGGTAAGCAAGCAGTAGGTCAGGGTCTTGCCTGCCAGGACCCTAAGGTATAATGGAGACCTGCAGTAAATGAAACATCCGTCACTCTCACCACTCAGTTACAGTGGTGAGGGCTTGAAGGGGAAGTCTGGGGAGCTAGGTGACTACTAGAACTAACTGAGCCCAAGGTCATGGCTGACTGGGTCTGGTGAGACGAATGGGCACTGGCTGAATGGAAGGCCTGCGTGGAGATGCTGAGGAGCCCGATCGAGCCTTATGAAGCAGTGTAAGCAAAGGTGAAGGGAGGAAGAGTTGGCCAGTTCCCTTCTCATGGTTGAGGAGTGAGGTGTGTAGTGGGCAGACTGATGACAGAAAATCTTCCAGGTCAGTGTTAGGACTGTGGAAGCCACAGGGGATCGAAGCAGGGCAGTGCCTGTGAGTACATACAAGACACAGGGACCAGCTTCTTCTTTACTTGGGGTGGTTCGTGGCTTATATAATTTTGGGGACAGGGGTCAGACTATCCAGCATGGGCAAAGGTCATTGTCTGAAGGCTTAAGGTACCGAATGCGTCATTAACATGGGGAAGCATTTCAGGAATCTCAGGTCCTAGCTGAAGGGGTTCTTATCTGGAGAAAGGACATTGAACCTGTAATCTAATCTGCAGGTAGAGGTGTGATTTGGGGGATGTGGGTGGTGTTGAACTCCCCAGACAAGGTCAGAGAAAGGGAATCCCTGCCTGTGAAGGAGTCCTTCATATTATACCGAGCTCAGAAGGCTATCCAATACAATAATAGACTTTGACCTTAATTAGCAGGGCAACACAGTGGCATGTGCTGCCTGTCGTTCTGTATATGTGAGATGTGAACAGGAAGGGTCAGGGAGGCCCAGACTGTAGGAAGCAGGTGCAGGACTCCAGGGACTGAGAGAACCAGGTCACAGTTTCTCATTTAGTTATGAGAGCAGGGCACATGTCATTGAAGTCAGAATGTAATTTGCTGGAACCAGATGGGTCCTGGGCCTTGAACTTGCATCATCAGACTTGGTGGCAAGTGCCTTACTGCCTGAGCTGTCTCACCAGCCCCAATTGATTTTTTTTTTAAGACAGATATTGGGGAGGTCATTTATAGGTCTTTGTGATAGGTAGGATTGTTTTGGAAGACCTTCATTCCTTCTTCTGGAAGTCATACAGAAAATTAGAAGGCAGAGAGTGGGACTCAGGGACAGAATCATAGCAGCCTCCAAACCAAGTACATGCAGACTGGAGGCATGGCTCTGTTAGGAAAGGGCTGCTGTGCAAGCAGCAGGCCCTAAGTTTAGTTCCCCAGGTCCCATGTGGACAGCCTTGGCATTGCAAGCGCACATATAATCCTGGTGCCGAGGACACACTCCACACTGGCTTATGAGTGTGACTTATTTTCTTTTTTCTGCAGTCTAGGACTCTGTGTTTGTTATGCATGGAACCCTAGGTTAACTCCCCAGCGCCAAAATAAGTAAATGTGTATTAAAAATGCAAGTCCTTCAGTTTAAGTCAGTCTTAGCCAATCTGGGTTTCCACTTTCTCGTTGTAAAGGAGGGGTCCCACTGAAATCTGTACTGAGGAAAGGACTCCATTCAAGTAGGTGTCCTTTTTCTCTCACTCACAGCTGCAAGCGAATCATAGCAGCCTCCAAGCCAAGTACAGCGACCGGAAGAAAGCGCTGACAGAGGTAAGCAGACACCCCTCTCCCCACTGTGACTTCATGCACCACCAGGAAACTTCCTTCCCTGCCGAGGATTTGACTCTGAGGACAGAGCCTGTCACATGCACAACAGCTGATGCAAGTGGCATTCCGCCAGCAGCGCTGCTCAGACATGAACCCTGTCCTTCCAAGACATAACAGACACATACATAGTGACAGCACATGACATTCATGGAGACAGCCTGTCGCACAGCCGCCCCAGGAAAGCTGGACACTAGCTGGCTGCCGCATTAGTGGCATGGGCTGCCAACTCTAACGTATGTATCTGTATCACAAGCCTACCAGTCACACCTCCAATTCCCTAGATGGAGTTGTAGTTCCCTTTGAATGAGCACTGTCTTCCTCTCTGTAGAGATCTGTAGATCTCTGTAGGTGGGCAGTCATTGATCTAAAGTGTTTATTGCTTTGTAGCTATTTCTTTAGTCAGAATTCATTTATAAATTGATTCACTGTTTTTTACCTGTGTTCCATTGTTTGATGTCTCTGATGTTCATCTGGTTTAAAGTTTCCTCTTGACATCTCTTTATACTGCTGTATACTCTTCACAGTTACTTGGCCTGTGACTGACAAAACCACTGACAGGAAGCAGCTTGAGGAAGGAAGGTTTTAGTTTGGCTGGAAGTTTAAGGATGCAGTCCGTTGTGGCAGAGAAGTTGAGACAGCAGGAACTCGAGCAGCAGGTCACACCTCATCCAGTCAGGAAGCAGACAGATGGCTGCCAGTGCTCAGCTCACGGTCTCCTGTTCCCCTCTTTCTGCAGTGCTGCCTCCCATTTATAGGGTGGGCCTTCCCAGCTCCGTGAACCTATTGAAGCAAACCTCACAGGCTTTCCCAGAGGCTGACCTAGCCGGGTTAATAGATCCTGTCAAGTTGATAGTATTAGCCATCACACCAGCTTGCCTCCACTGATTTTGGGGAAGGGTGCTGCCTTCTATGTGGTAGATCAGCTGATGGCAAGAGATACTCGAAGCTGGGAAACTTCCCATTCTCCTTGCTGTTGCCAGCCATCTGGGGCTCTCAGATGCTCTCTCCTATGTAACAGTCAGGCTTCACTGCTTTGTCGACCCAACCTTGCTCTCCTAATACAGGCCGTTCTTCCCACCTACACTGGCTAGCACTCTGTAGCTGACTTCCATCTGTTCCCTGTGAGCTAACCCACTTCATTGTTCTAGGATCATAGCCTGGATTATTTGGAGACTTGAAGTGAAAGGGTTTGATGAGACACCTGGCCATACTACCATTTTTAACTAGGAACTTTTTAAACTTGTGTTTGTTTCAATGAGTCACATATTCACAAGGTTCAGAACCTCACAAAACACAAAAAGCAAACGCCTGTAACCCACGTCTGTCTACTCACTACAGGGTACTCAGTGCAGCCAGTACTTCTGAATCTTTTATGACTGTTTTAACTGTATAGCAATTATATTCTACATACTTGTGCACATTCCTTCTTTAACATGTCTGTGTGTCAGGGGTGGAGGCTGGTAAGTGTGCCACAGCACAGTGTGGAGGTCAGTGGACAACTGTGGAAGCTGATCCTCTTTTGACATGTGGATTCCAGGGATTGAAGTCGGGTTATCGGGCTTGTCAGCAAGTGCTGCCACCAAGCCACCTCCTCAGCCCACATCTGTGTACCGCTTTATGTGCTTTAGGAGTTCGATACAGTCATGATTTTAGACTTTGCTCCCTAGATCATTGTAAAAGATGTGCATACAAACAAGACAGAAACAGTAGAAGGGGTGGGGAGATGGCTCGGGGGTAAAGTGCTTGCTGCATAAGGAAGGACCTATGCTCAGAACCTGATTGTCCGGGTAACTGGGACCCCAGCACTGGGGCTCACTAGGCTGCAAGGCTAGCAAAACTGTAACTTTCTATTTCAGTGAGAGATCAGTCTCAAAAATTAAGGTAGAGAAGCAAAACTGGAGAAAGACTTCTCTGCATCAGCCTCTGACTCCACGGGCACACCATGCACAGGCAGTGTATGTGTGCACCACATACAAAAGTGTATTGCTATGCATTCACATCTGCATTTTCTTAAAGATTTGTTTCACTAGCGAATTCAGAAGTTAAAACCATTTGTCTTAGTTAGGGTTTCTTTTCCTGTGACAAAACACCGTGACCAAAAAGCAAGTTGGGGAGGAAAGGGTTTATTTATTTTACATTTCCATATTGCCATTCATTGATGAAGGAAATCAGTACAGGCACTCAGACAGGGCAGGGACCTGGAGGCAGCAGCTGATGGCTGAGGCTCTAAGGAGGGCTGCTTACTGGCTTGCTCATCTCAGTTGCCCAGCCCACCTTCTTATAGAACCATCAGCCTGGGGATGGAGCCACCCACAATGGACTGGCCCCTCCCTCATTGATCACTAATTAAGAAAATGCCCTACAGGCCTATCTATAGCCTGACCTTATGGAGGCATTTTCTCAACTGAGGCCTTTTCCTCTGATGACTCCAGCTTGTGTCAAGTTGACACAAAACCAGCCAGTACACCATCCAAGAGACTGGGAAGTTTCAGCCCTGCCATGACAG